GCAGGTTCTTTGAACACCTCATGGTTCCCGTCTTGAGTTGGCAAGTTAACAAGTAGCCTCAAGCAAAGACAACAAGCTGTGGCATATCAAGGGACATAGCCTTGTGTGGGAGCCCAGCCTACACCAGAGAACAGAACCCTAGATTTCCAAGCTGTAAATATCATGAGCCTTCAGATAGCATTTCCAAAAATACACTGGGGATGAAAGGGAGATGGTATAAAAAAATATTTTACCAAAAAGCCAAAATCTGGGGGGGGGGGAAGAGAGAGAGAGAAAAAATATGTGACTCGCAGTTACATTGTTTCCACAGAAACACTGTGATGTCAGATATATGATGGATAAATTAGCTCATAATACGGCTTTGTGGAAGCCAAAGTTTCACTGCCAATTTGGACCTAGGATCTAGTGGAAGAGGCATAGCGATTAAAGAAACACAAAGATGTCAAACAAAAAGAATGACACAATATACATCCAGCCTCCACCAAGAAAATTACCCCAAACTTACATTGCTAGTTATGGCGTGTTATCTGTCCTTATCCCTATTCTCTGTACTACAACCATCAGGTCCTGCATGTCCACAGCCACTGTGGCAGTTAGTAGGTGATGCAAAGAACCACAACGGGGACTGACATGAACGTCCTCACAGAGTATATGAACAGGAGGTTTCACATGCTCTACGGTTCGCAAGCAGATGAAAAAGTAATCAAGCTTAAGAAGTCATCAGTTCAATCACTCAGCATTGGCTTTTTGAGCAAATTAGAAGCTGGAGGATGTGTGCAGTCCCCCTTCCTTCCCAGCACCACGTTAGAAGGATTAGATCAAGCTCCTGCAGAGAAAACCATGTAGATTTCCCCAGTGAGATTTTTCTTGGAATAAACAAAGATGTCTGCTGTTATCACCAACATCCCAAGACGAGGAAGAGTGGTATGCAGGCAAAGGGCAGTTATGCATCTGTGCTGGACCCACTTCTCTTGTACTGACCAACCCCATATGCCTTCAAAGCTGCTGCACGCTTTTCTGACAAATCATTTAATTTCACTGCATAACTTCATGGGAATAAATTTCCCATGAACACAACTAGAGATTTGCTTACATCCTTATGTCTTGTCCTTGTGGGGCCCTTCTTGTTTTACATAGCTTATAACAACTGCAAGCGATACTCAAACTGAAAGGGATAAAGATTTGATTTTTATTTTTGCAATATCCAGAAACAGTGAGTTTCACAGATCTGCTTGCTTGGAATCTATGAAAAGGCCCTCCCTTTTAAATCTTTTCTCCCAAGATGCATTTAATTGCATCCACCTATGCCAGATTTCATCCACAGGATTTCATTAGGTGGTGACCCCAGCTCCATGCTGGGGGTGGGATCCGCTCCCTCCCTGTCTCAGACCTGCAGCACCAACACCTGCACCAAACCTGTGCTGTGGCACTGCAACAACTGCACACCCCTCGGGTACCAGCTGCACAGAGCAGACCCCTTATGGCCCATAAATAAGCGTGTAATATTGCCTATAGCTGGTGCATCCAAGAGGATAAAGCACATGCAGCTGGATCAAGCCCTGGAGGCAGGATCCAGGCAGAAGGAGGGTGCTGCTCCTGGTAGCCATGCTGCACGTGAGCAAGAGAGTGAGAGATTCATACCAGCACAACATGGGTTCACCCTAGGGCCATCCACAGGTACCCGCTGGCATCAGTTTGCTTTAGCTTTGTAAACAGTACTAATGGTTTCAGCCCCGGCTCTCCTGCCGCGATGAAGGCACTCGCTTTCTCCTGGAATAGATAATCCTAATGGGCATGCTGTGACTGCCTGGAAAATATCCTCCCCTCAGCACATTTCGGTGGCACGGAATTGTCAGAGTTGGAAGGGACCTCTAGAGATCATCCAGTCCAACTCCCCTGCTAAAGCAAGGTTGCCCAGAGCACAGCACTCAGGGCTGCATCCTTGAAGATCTCCAGAGAAGGGGACTCCACGGCCTCCCTGGGCAGCCTGTTCCAGGGCTCTGCCACCCTCACCGGAAAGAGGTTCTTCCTCATATTTGAGTGGAACTTCCTACGTTCCAGCTTGTGCCCGTTGCCCCTCGTCCCGTCACTGGGAACCACTGAAAAGATTCCAGCTCCATCATCCTTCAACCCACCCTTTAGGTACTTGTAAACGTAGATAAGGTCTCCCTTCAGACTTCTCAAGGCTAAAGAGCCCCATATCTTTGAGCCTTTCTTTGTAAGGGAGGTGCTCCAATCCCTTAATCATCTTTGTAGCCCTACGCTGGACTCTCTCCAGCAGTTCCCTGTCCCTCTTGAACTGGGGAGCCCAGAACTGGACTCAGTATTCCAGAAGTGGCCTCACCAGTGCAGAGTAGAGGGGAAGAATGACCTCCCTGAGCCTCCCATGGCACCATGTTGTGAATCCCAAGTGCTCAAAACCTGTGCCCGCTTAGATGGGGGCTGCCTGTCCTACAGTGGAAGGGAGAGAGGAGAAGGGGGGAAAAAAAGCAATGGAAAACCCTCCGGTGATGCCCTCGAGGGAATGTGATCAGCAGGTCTGAGGCTGGGAGATCCTTCCACAGGCAGAGAGCAGTATGTGAGGAAATCCTCAGATCTTTGTGAGAGCAGCTGCCTGGCAGCAGAGGGAAGCTGCCAAGTGGTGGGCGGTTGGCGTATGTGCTGGGAGAGGGGAAACTCAGAACGCATATTTGTGTTAGCAAAAATGCTGTAATTCTTCACAGTGTAAGCAAGAGGCTCAGCCCTGCCAATTATGAGACTGGGGAAAAAAAAAAAAAAACCACCAACATTAACTGGCACCAGGCACTTTTTTTTCCACTAAGGTGCCTCACCTTGGCCCTCTGACTACATTTTGGCCCAATTAATGCAAAACAGAACATCAAGAGGGTAAAATTCTGCTGTTTGGACTGGGGCAAATGAACACGGCAGTGAGGGGAAGTGCCACTTCTCAGTCCCAAGCTTCTCCATCTCACTTCCATGCTGCTGGGAGACCTCTCCTGCTACTCACTGTCTGCCATTGCTCCTCTCCCTGGCAAAAGGCATGTTGACTGTGTGACCCTAAAAACAGCAGGGGGGGCTCCATACATTGGAGCATAATTCAGTTTAATGTAACCCAGCATGGTGATGGCTAAGCCCTGTCACAGATGGATGGGAATCTCCATCCCCCTGTAAATCTAACAGGGACTGGGTGGAAGAAGACTCTAAATTAAAATCTGGCCAGGGTCTAGTATTGCAAGTTCTCGGGTGAGCTTCCCTTGTAGACATCTCTCTTACATTTCTACTTCTCTTGCCTTCCCTGGAGGTTAAGGCCATGCAGCTGGACCTGCTACCATTTCAGTAAGACAGGGGTCCATCCAGACTAGCAATTGGCTCTTGCTGTACTTAAAACATTTGGAGAAACTGATAACCCCTTCATCAGCAGCTGCACTACAGCTGATGCAACCCCTGTAAAACTGTAAGTACCAAAGAGAGCACACAGGGAATGGCAGATCACTGTCTCTTCTAAAATAAGACAAAGGTGGCACCAAATGAAATTTGCAGGTGGCAGATTCAAAATAGGGAAAAGAGTGTGACTCCTCACGCAACATCTGACCAAGCCATGAATCTCCTTGTTGCAGCATTTTGTGGATGATAAATGCTTACCTGACTAAACCAGAAAAATTAAGAGAAGATAAAGAAATAGATTTGACTTTTGGCTCTGGAAATCCCTGGGAAACAAGCTGAGTGTGGCATCTGGCTCTGGGACCCCCAGCACAAGAAAGATGTGGACCTGTTAGAGTGAGTCCAGAGAAGGGTCATGAAAACAATCAGAGGACTGGAACACCTCTTCGATGAAGACAGGCTGAGAGAGTTGGCATTGTTCAGCCTGGAGAAGATAAAGCTTCAGGGAGACCTTGTTGCAGTCTTCCAAAATATAAAGGGGGCTTGTAAGAAAGACAGAGACTTTTTACTGTGGCTCCGGAACAGATTGCCCAGAGAAGCTGTAGATGCCCCATCCCTGGAAATGTTCAAGGCCAGGTTGGACGGGGCTTTGAGCAACCTGATCTAATGAAAGATGTCCCTGCCCATGTCGGGGGTTGGACTAGATGACCTTTAAAGGTCCCTTCTAGACTAAACCATTCTGTGGTTCTATAATAAGTTGTTAGAAGCTGAAAGAATATTCACGGAAATTATCATCGCTCATTTTTCTGCTATTATACTCCTTCCTGAACATTCATTCTCGGCCATTGAAAGAAACAACAATCTTTTCCTTTGGTTAGGATGGCCATGCTGCTTGGCCTAGCTAGGAGACAGCAGACATATGACTGTGGGACATTGAGGGTCTGGCCTAAGCCGGGATCTACTATAGCTTTGCATGATCCTTACAGGCACTAAGTTCCTCTAGCTCAAAGCAGCTAAGGAGAGAGAGCAGTGCCCTGCATCACACACAACTAGACCCCCTGCCCGAAAAGCACCAGCCTCAACACGAGCTTCAGGGAGATGAACTGCAGCCTGTGTGCTCAGGCACCGTTCAGCAGGGAAGAGATCTCCCGTAGGACATCACAGGATACTCTTCTTACTGCACAGACTAACAAGCAGTTGGTTTCCTTCTGACAGTTCACGGAGCTCAGTTTAATCCTACTCCCAAGTAGTTTAGTTACAGACTTCACTGAGAGCCAAAGCAGTCCTTCCCATTCCTTTTAAGAGTGCCACCACGGCCCGTGCAAACAGGAAGGATTGCAGGAGTAACACACGGCAAGTCTGCATCCCAGCATTTTGTGTTAAATTAACTGGCAGGAGTAAACTAAAGGCACAAAGTAAGCAGACAGTAACAGAGACTAAAGAACAGCAGTCACTCCTCTCTAGCTGATTTTCTACTTCAAAGGACAGATGGGAAGAACAGCAAGGTAGTTCAATATAAGGAACCTTCAGAGAGGAAAAAAGCATTCCTGCTCTAAATGTGGAGCAATTAAGAAATGTTGTGAGGAAACACAGTGGAAACCAAACAAGAAAGCGGGTAATTACAGCATTCCTTTGCCCCCTAAGGATCTTTTCTATCCACTCCCACTTCTCAACACCCCATCCTTGCCTTGAGAAACAGCAACACAGGTTTTTCTCCTCCACTTACCATACACCCATCCTACACAGATGACTTCAAAAATGGCCAGGAAGAGCAGGCATGTGCCACTGGCAGCATAGTAGTCAAAGAGCTGGAAGATGTACATCCCACCCTGTTGAAGTAGAGAAGAGAGAATCATGGTAGGACTATTCCATGTGAGGGAAAAATGACTGAGGCAAGCGGAAGAATAGGAGCAGAAATGTTTCCCCTAGAGCAAGTGGGAGAAGGAGAAGAGCCTCCTCTTGGGGCTCCAGGTACTCAGACCTGGAGGCAGGAGAGCTTTTCACACCCATTTTATGATACTGCTGGACTAGGCTGGTTTCTGTGTCCACAGGATCAGAAGCCAGGGCGATTGCTTGTTTTAAATGAGTTAGTAAGTTTCCAGGCTCATTTCAAAACACCATGTAGCAGTGCAGAACTTTGCACCCAAGACATTGGGATCCTGAGGATCAGGGCATCCAGGTACTTAATTTTTGCTGCATCCATCTTTACATATTGCTCAAGGTCCATGTGCCTTCCCTACTGCCTCTGCCTTTGAGCTGAGTCCTGCATAATTGCCATCAGCTACCTCTACAGGTCAGGGGATGGCTCTGCTCTTGTACTTCTATGTGTTTTCTCAAAGAGAAAGCTTCTCCAATACAAGTCAAGCAGATGCTTTCAAATAATGCTGAAAGGCTCTAGAGTCACTGCCAGAGTAGCAGAGCAGTTAGCCCTTCATCCCACCATGTATGAGGTGACAATTTGCAACGATGAGGGTAGATGCCTCCGTGCAAGGGGGCATGCAAAAGCCATAGGAACCCTTAAAACAGTTTTACTCAAAACTCTCTCAGTCGCAGTGGGAGCTTCCCAGGATCATTCAGCAGCACCTAAGAGATTTAGCAGGACTTAGCTGTCACTACACAGCACATGGAGGCAACACAGAGGAGTTCTAAGACCCCTGCCCAAACGTGCAGTAGGCATGCACAGGGCAGCACAGCACACCACTGCACAGGGAAAGGTGTTCTTGGCTATTAGCTGCAAAGCAGGGCAAACACTGTGCATGCAGCATCGCACTGACACAGCTCCTCTGCTTTTGGTCCTGTGGATCACAGGCTCCCCACTTGGTCAGGCAGGGTTATTGTTGCAGCCATTACCCCCACCCTTCCCTCCCACTGCTCTGCTTCTTGTGGAAAGCAACCAATAAATGGTTGCTGCCCTCAAAAGAGCTTCTGCTTGTGCTGCTCCGCTTGTTTTAGCCACCAGACCTGGTATTTGCACGCAGCTGTATGTCAGGTGGCCTCTCTGGACTGTGGGACCGTCTCTCTGGAAGGCTCAGTTATGCAGCAAGTACAACAGCATCATGCAGGGTAAAAGCAGCACCAGCTGTGACAGACACCAGCTAATGCATTAGAAATGAAGGATAATTAACAGCGTCAAAGATGAGCTTGCTGTCTCTACCCACTCCTCCGGAGCAATCTAGCAGGTTTATGGTGCCTGACTGTACCCCAGCTACTCCTTTCTTACCTCAGTGACCAGCAGTAAGCCCAGCAGGTAGCATATGACTGCAATGGCCAGGATCAGCAGCTCCCGACGACCCTTCTTTCGAAACACTCCCGGGAACAAGTCAATAAGAGCTGTCACCATGCTTTCCACACAGACGAACTGTAGAAGAAGACAGCTTAGAAAAAATCAGTGTCTCCCCTTCCCCAAGCATACATTCCCTCTCACTGTCCTTTTTCCCTCTAGTCACTCAAATCCTTATTTTTTTGTTTTCTCTTTCTGTCTGTCTCGATTCCACCAAGGGCCAGCTGCAACTGCAAGGGACCCAAACACAGCTCAGTATGTCACTGAGGTCTCTGGAGCTGCAGACCGAAGGGGTTGAAAGTACAGCCCCGTGCTGGGCAGGTGAACTGTGAGACATACAGGGAACTGCCTCAAACCCAACAGAGCATTCTGCTGCACAACAGGAACTACCAATGGATGGCATAAGACTGTGACTCTTGAGCACAAGCCTTGTGGAGAGCTCAGGGTAGGGACAGGCACCTGGGCATTAGATGAAAGGGGGGCGTTTGCTGTACCTGGCTGTCCAGTCCCAAGAAGATCAGCATGAGGAAGAAGAGGCAGGACCAGAGCTGAGACACAGGCATCATCGTTACTGCTGTTGGATATGCTATGAAAGCCAGGCCAGGACCTGCCAAGAGACCACAGGATGATCATGTGTGCCCTCCACACCACTGCCTGCCACTACCACCCTGCAGTGTGGAGTGAGCTTCAAAGCTCCTCTCACCATGGCTCCTTGCCCACGCAGGGCTGAAAGCTGCGTCCAGGAGCATTTGTCCTGCAGACCTTCCTGCAGACACCCATAGTGATAGAGGATGTACAAAACATCCTGGGCTTCACTTCAGAAAAGACCCCTGCCCTTCAGCCTTTCTGTTTTGCCTTGGCTCTGAAGCCTCCCAGAAAAACCTACCTGATTCAGCCACTTCTGCAATGGGCACACCCTGCTCTCGAGCCATGAAGCCCAGCACAGAGAAAATGGCAAAGCCAGCAACGAAGCTGGTGGCACTGTTCAGGAAGCAGAGCATGATGCAATCCCTGCAGAGGGGAGACCAGAGAGATGTCGGTGTTTCCAGCTGCAGAACGGGTCCACTTGAGATCACGTCTGTACTCAGCTTCCCCAGTCAGACAGCAAGGACCAAGGAACAGCACTGTTGCTTTTGAACTTCCTCAGAAACAAAAAGCTCAGAACAGAGGCAAAAATCAGCCTACCTACTTTGTTCCCCGCTGTTCAAGAGTTACAGCACTATACATGGCACAGAGAGAGACACAGGGCACCACCAGTGGCTTGTCAATAGGATGCCACGATGATATATGTAGGGAGATGGCAACAAAAGAAGCTGACAGGAGTCAATAGAATAAGAAAAACAACAGGCAAAATGAGAAAAACCGCAAATTAGAAAAGGGATGAGGTTGCAAAAGTAGTTATAGTCAAGAAAGAGCAGCATCTGGAAGCATTGAACGTGTACAGGTTCAGCAAGTCTGGTAAAGAAGGACTAATAGGACACCAGAATGAACTGGCTGGGCTGGAAACCCCACATCCCGGGATCCTGCCTGGGCAGCTGCCAGAGCTGACCCACAGCATCAGCTGCTATGGGGCAGTGTGGACACCCAGCACATTTGGACCACCCAGAGCTAAGCTGTCAGTCCAAGGCACCTAAGGCATTAGAGAAAGGCATGAGCACACAGCTCCATTGGTGACAGATATATTTCAGGAGAGCCAGGGGAAAGTATTAATTGCCTGACCAACAGCCATGGCAGCACCTATTTGAGAACCGAAGAGGAGAGATGATTGATGTCTCCAGAGTACCATTACATTTTCCCATCCATGCCAGAGCAATACATGAAGGAATAACGAGGCCCCTGCTCCTCGTAGCTCTGTGGAAGGTGTCAGAAATGGTCCTGATGGCTTCACTGAGCTCCATGTCAGGCCATGGATAAAATAGATCTGTAATCCAAGGGCAAGGAGGAGGCCAGACAGACTTGATTAATCTCCTTGATAGGATCAAAGTGCCGCTGGCAGTACATTACCCTGATGGCAGTAAAGCAGTGGAGACAGGAGGCCCAACCATCATCTTTGCACCATCTTCCCTGCCTAGCAAGTGACAGCAGAGCTGGCCATGCCACCCCTGCTCACCCACCCTGTCAAAATAGCCTGTGGTGTCTCCACAGTGGCTGGAGACACTCGATTTTCAGCTTTCCTCCTCCTCCAGTCTCCCCCTTTCCCCAGCTGACTCATGCAGGGGAGCAGTACCAAAGCCATTTTCTGGCTCTCCCGTGTTCTCTCAGCCACTCTGCCCCACACTGAGTCCTCGGAAGGATTCCACACTCTGAGCAGCTCGTTAGTCAGAGCAGCACGACCCAAGGTCTCCCCTGGGGACACAGCCTGCCTCTGATGCAGCTCTGTGCTGTTTGTCTCCAAGCAAATTTCCAGAAGGATGCAAAGGAGTCCAGGCTCCTCTTACCTGTAGCAGTTGTTGGTGTATTTGTTGTAGCTGCCCAGAGCAGTCAGGCACCCCTGGCAAATGGCATAAGAGAAGAAGATCTGAGTGCCTGCGTCCATCCAGACCTGGAACAGAGAAGGTCAGTGGTCTCCAGACCTGGCAACAAAATAAACAAATGGCTGTTCCCTGTCTAGCAACAGGCCCTTGCATGACAGAGAGGGGCTCAGTGAATGTAGAAACTGGGATACCTCTCCAGGAAAACTAAGCTATAGGATGGAAATTCCTGTAGGAAAAGGCTTCTGAGGGGACTGTGTTTTCATACACAACTCAAAGCAACATGGGGCATACCACTGCCCCCATCCTGCACCTTTGCTTTCTAGATGGAGACAGCTTCTCTGATAGCATGGCTCCAGCTGAAGTTGGCACTGCAGGTGTCTGTGGTCTCGACGTGGCCCACAGTTCAGAGAGCCACTGGTGAGTCGTCCCAGGAGAGGGCCAGTGAGTCCTTTGCATGATCGATGTACTCTCCCCCTCCAAATCTGGCTCTCAACATCTCTGATGCCACAGTGCAGGGTTGAAAGGGGGCTGAGAGACATCACACCCATGGGCCCCTTTGCTCTAGCATTTCAAGGGAAAATCTGCGTGGACTTGTTCACCACCACTCCAGACCCCCACGGAGGAGTCCCTTGTTCACTCCATGTGTTGTGGGCTGAACTGCAGCACCACTCTCACACCCTCCTGGGGAAAGCCCTGAGCCGTAAGACAGCAGGCAGGCAGGAAAACAGCCCACCTTTCTGCTTGGCTGTGTGTTCCCTCTCACTCTCTTGTTCCTCCAAGCAGCCCCCAGCTGCAAACATCCAGGCAGCTGCGATTTGGCAGCCTTCAAAAAATCCCAGGCCAGGCACTGCTGCTTAAATTCACGTGGATCTCTCACAGATAGGCACGTCCACGGGAGCCTTTGGGGCACAGGCACACGTCTCACTTTACACCAAAGCCCCACATTCTGCCTAAACTCCCTCTCTTGCTCCTGCTATGCTGGGTTGCAGCAGCCTGGAAAGACCATGTCAGCTTTAGTTAGGCTGTGAAAGATAGGGAAGTTTTCAGTGAATAAGCTCTGACCATGAATAAAACACACTCAACCCCAGTCACCCCCCCTGCTACTTATTTGGATATTAAAATGCCATTTACGTTCAGCTGTCTCTTTAGGTTCAGCACACCACAGATTTTGTATTGACAACACATAATTGCATCTGAAAGCCATTTGGGGGAAGACAGTGTGTTTGGCAGCTGGCTTGGGAGCGGTTGGGGCTTTGGCCATCTGGGAAGATGTGGGAGGTAAGCTGAGACTGCGGGCTAAGCATATTGCTTGGCTGCCTCCACACAAAAAAAAAAAGATTCAGCGCTGGAACAATTAGCGGCAGTGTCATTTAAATACTCTTTGAGGGGGGTTTCATTAGCACCTCCCTGGGATGAAGGAGGCAGCCCGCACAGCCTTGTGGAGCACACGTGGGGAAGGGGAGCAACCTGCTGTTAGAGAAAGGTGCCAGAGCAGACACCCCGGGGGAATCCACTGAAGGAGGGTGTCCTGCTGCCTGCCCTGTGCAGCTCCCTAAGGGTGCTGCCCACCTCCTGCCATCTTAAAATCATAGAATCATCTAGGTTGGAAGGGACCTTCAAGATCATTTAGTCCAACCATCAACCTAACTCTGACAAAAAAAATCACTATACCATGTCCCCCAGCACCATGTCAACCCGTCTTTTACCTGCAGGGATGGTGCTTCAACCACTTCCCCAGGCAGCCCATTCCAAGGCTTGATAACCCTTTCAGTATAAAAATTTTTCCTAATATCCAACCTGAACCTCCCCTGGCACAACTTGAGGCTGTTTCCTCTTGTCCTATCATCTGTGACTTGGGAGAAGAGGCTGACCCCCACCTCTCTACACCCTCCTTTCAGGGAGTTGTAGAGAGCGATAAGGTCTCCCCTCCTTTTCTCCAGGCTGAACACCCCCTTGCCCTAATCTGGACTTGCCCTCCCTGTGGACACAGCATCCTCCCTGCCGTGAGCTCCAGCGAGTGGTGGCAGGGGCTCTTGTGATCCCTTTGACCAGACCCTGACCCAAGCGAGAGGGACCAGCCCCCCAGGACAGGTGGAGAGAACCTGCTGCACAGGCCCACCTCACCTGCATCCCCTCAGCCTCTGCAAGCACAGGGGCCCTGTTGGAGCCAAACTAAGTGCTAACCAGGCCAGAAAAAAAAACGAAAAGTGGTAGATCATTTTCCCCCGCCCTTCCTTAACTATTTGCATTTAAGATCCAGTAAAACCATCTGTTACATGCTGAATATTTCATATACTTTCCTGCTTTTGCTGAGCCTGTGAGTGGGAATGACCTAATACGCCCATATGCTGCAGATGCACGAGCAAAAAGGCAGTGCTGTGCAGAGGACTAGACCTCTCTCCGTGCTTTTTAAGAAGGTCTAAGTGGTTTGCCGGTCTCCTTTTTGGAGTAGACAGCTAGATCCTCAGCTAGCAGCAGATCCAAGGGCCAGGGCGCTGGAAATCTTGCCATGGCCAGCACTTGCCTGCCTCCCACCCACCTGCGGGTCTGTCAGCCTGGAGATGTCTGGCTTCAGGTAGAAGATGATCCCCTCGACAGCACCCGGCAGCGTGACTCCTCGCACCAGCAGGATGATGAGCATCACGTATGGGAAGGTGGCGGTGAAGTAAACAACCTGTGGGCACAGGGAAACAAGAGGAGAGAGGGTCAGCAGGGAGGGGGCACAGGCATCATCTCGTCTCGTCTCGTCTCATCTCATCTGCAGGCCCCCACCCCAGCAAACGTCCCTGGACCCTGCTGCTGGCCAGAGCTGCTGCTGCTAGAGCAGAACAGGGGAGGGAAAGAAATTAATCGAGGTGACATCTCACCCGTGATTTAGTTAATCTACATTTTGTTCCTCACCCAAGACCTTGCCACTGGTTGCTCTGCATTATTTTCTCTTTCCAGCCAGTGTAATTTCCCTGCTCTCCAGCTGTTCTCTTCATCTTTCTAAAGCTGCAGAAGAAACCTAGATATCTTCCTGTCACTGAGTTTTAATGAGGAGTTATTAAAATGGTCCTCCTCCCAGCAAGAGTTTTCCAAATTAAATAGTAACTTTTGCTGCCCAATTTGAGACACCTTTCAGGGGTTTCATTGCCAGGGGTGCTCATGCAGCACTCTCATTCCTTCAATGCCTCTGAGCTCACACATAACAAATGGGGGCACCTCAAAGCCTTTAAAAGAAATGTACATCATTATTTTTGTAAAACCTTCTTTTCACTTCTTCTTGTGTGTGATGTAAATAAATATTATAGTAGAATTAATCATCTCTAATCCATTGCGTAATGCAACATTTTTTTTCTATTTGCAAAATATCCGTGAGCAAGTTGCAAGTTCCTAACATTTATTCATTATTGAAATTCACCCAAGTAATGTGAAAGCTTGTTTACTCTATGGATTCATAGTGAGGGGCCTAAAATGACGTTTTTTTCTGCTTAGTGATAATTGGTCAAATAAGTCACAGTATGTGGCACTTCTGCTGTTTCCCCAATTGAATGAGAATGTGAGCACTTTTGGCACATGGACTAAAATCTACCTTCAGAAATCACTTCTGGGAAATATTTATACAAACAGCTGAATGCATAAGGAAGGGAAACATGGAAAAAGCACAAGAGCAGGCAAAATGAATAAAAGAAAAGGGCTTTTAAAGAAAATGAGTCTTCATGGAATTATTTGAAATTATTTTCCTGAGGTTGCTATTGTTTCTTTAAGTTTGGACTCCCTAAATCACAGAAGCATAAAAACAAGGTTCTGGCAGAGTTACCCGATTAGAGCAGCCTTTCAGTCAAGCACAACATCCTGTTTACTCTGCTACTGTTGAACAAAATTATGTACCTAATCAGAATTTCTGGGACCTCCCTACTGCTTCGCCTAATACATAATCAGCGAAGAAAAAGAAGGAAGGAGCTGATTTTTTTTGACAGTGCCCCTGTAAAACTCAAAATTACTACCTGCAGAGAAGAAAACTGGCCTGTCCGGTCTATGGTATGTCTTGGGACAGAAAAACCCACCCTGTATTGCTGCACCATGTCCGTAACATCCAGCTGGTAAAAAATAAGCCCTGTATCCTAAAACTTGTGGAAAAATATGTGGTCCAAGGAAAACCATTCCAGCTACTAAGCGCACGCAGTTTCCTCTCACTTTCTCATCTGACTTTGCCGAACTCAATCAGCCCAACCAAGCTGACTGAATTCCTTTAGCTTTCTCCTTGTGCAGGCAAGTTCTGCACACCAGGGCAGCACCAGGGAAAGGAGAGACTCGGTGGAGAGGGCTGAGAGCTGAAAGGAACCCTGGGATGACTTAATTACACTTCCATGGGGATCAAACAGCCTCTCAGACCCAGTCTCCCAAGATCAGAATGATACCTTTTTCAAAAATAGCATTGTGGTATTCAAACCAGGGAGCATCAGAGATTTAAGATTTAAAATGAAGACCATCCCCTCTACCCATAGATGTGGTGCCTGGTTCTCCCTCCTTGAGAAAGAGTGGACAGCAGCTCAGCACCAGCAAGACCAGGGTCACCAGCAAAGACTGGGAGAAACCTAGCGAGCAGTGCAAGCTATTGTCTTGCTCTGTTAAATTGGATGCCCAGTACAGTTTAAGGTGGAACTGGTCAAATCCCAGTTTTAAGTGGGATTTGAGACTGGAACATGGGTGGCTAGTACCAGAGGCAACATCTGCCAATACTAGGGATAGTGATTTGAACAAAGAAGTCTCTTGCAGAAACTGGTTCCACTCCCTGTGCTATTGGGACATCCCATGGACGCCCACAAGATCCAACCATCATTAATGACCCACCCATCTCATTGCAGCTCTAGGAAGGAAGAAGGTCCTGAACAACTCAAGGCCATAGCAGCGTCCCTAACACCCACCCCAAGGCATCATGCACTCATTCACTCCAGAAGGACAACCAGCCCACCTGATCTACAGGACCAACGCCAGGAGGGAACACTAGCTCCAGCCTCACCAGCAAAATGCAGAAAGTAACCCACTGAGCCAAAACCCACAGAGCCAGGGGGAGTACAAGGGAGAGCACAAAGACACCCCTCCCACCCCAAGTATTTTTCAGGATGTAGAAGCAGGAGAGATTCATTATCTATTCACTGAGCTGGTTACAGGCAGCAGCTTGTTTGTTTTGCTCAAGTGTTCAATTATCACCAGGGATAGGAAGTTTGCCACTGCAGAGGATCTTGTTAAAAATACCAACAAGCTTCACCAGGACAACACAGTGACTGGATGATTCCCAAGGGCACCTGGGGAGTATCCATCAGCCATTGTGAGTATCTCCAATGGAGAAGGTGACCCAAGACTACCTTCAGTTCCCAGGTCCTTCCCTGTTTTCTCCTCCCTGTTTGACCTACTCTTTTATTCTTCCTCTATTGGTCAAGCACAACTGGTATAAATCAGTATGGCCCCACCAGGTTTTAGGTTTGTCTTTGGTGCTGTGTGTCTCCCGCCTCTACTTCATGAAGAGGGAAAAGAGATTGGAAAAGAAATGTAAGATGGGTGCAAGGAGGCTTATGGACCAGGAGGACAATCTCCATTCCTACTTTGCCTGTGGACTTGACCCCTTTCCAGATGCAGAAGTAGCAGATGATCCACGCCAGCAGAAGACACAGAGCCAGCTCCCAGCGCACAGTGCCCAGTTTGTGAATACCATCCGTGAGCCCCAGGACTCGCTTCCTGCCAGTGTCCAGGGACAGGGAGAAAAGCATTAACACCCCAGACACCACTCATCCATACAGACCTTTCCCATATTACCCCATCCAAGGACTTAACAGACTATCCACAGCACATCTACCCAGGGTTCCCAATCATGCGAATCACCCCAGCTCTGCCTAGGGCTCCCTTTTCTGTTGTTCCTAATCATGCTGCTCCACCGTGTCCTGTAGCTGGCCTGAGCCCTCCCATGGTCTTCAAGCCCATGGCACCTGGCCTGTCAGACCCATATAACACAAACTCACCACCCACTCCCCATTGCTCCCCACCCCTGGCAGCTGCCCAGCAGACACTACTCAATCCAAAGCAGGCCACCAATGCCGTCATCACCCCATGGCCACTGCTCTTCCTGTGGCCTCCCGTAGACTATGAACACCGTATATATAAGCATAAATGGCCTTTATAATTCCCATGACCTTCCTTCAACCTTGAAGACTCACCATCAGGAAGGTAGGTCCACACAAGAGCTCAGCACTGCAGCTCATGTGGTCCCCAGAAGCCTGATCCCACACTGAAAATTTCTCTGCACACTCTTCTCGAAACTAGTCCCCTCAGCGTCCCCTTGCCCTTGCAACCCCTGCAATAAGCCTGAACAATCATTTCAGAGGGGTCACTAAACAGTGTGTGCAAAGAATAGGGCAGGAGAGGTGGTCCAGCACTGGGCATTCCCCTTCTGCACCCATGGGCACATATCATCTTTGTGTGCCCTGTGACAGCTGCAAGGGACAAAGGACACTCAACCCTCTCAGAGGCACTTTTAAGAGCCATCAATGGGAAGAAAAAAAAAAAAGAAATAAAAGAAAAAAAAAAAAAAAAGAGGGAAAAAAAAGAAAAGTACTGCTGCAGCTGAGCCCCTGGCACCACTTTTTTTTATGAGCCCTTCCTCAGTTGAGTGGAAAGGTAGTGTGGCCCCGGCAGCCACTTCAACCTCTCGAGGCTGCAGTGATGACCCTCTCTGGGACACTCTCTTACCTGTTGCCAGACCCTTCCCTCAGAGGTGTTTTACTGTTTTATTGCTTCCAGCCCCATGACCAAACCTCCCCGAGCCCTTCTGTGGCATCTCATGCATAGACCTCAGACTTTGCTCTTCAGGGATGAGTCTGAGCAGCTGGATGGACCACCTCCCTTAGGCACCAAGCAAGACATGGTCAGAAGAAGGGAAAAGGCAGTTTTTTCCCTTTTCTGTGTCACTGTAGGGGATGGTTCAGTCTGTCCTGGCCTCTCATGCTTGCCTGCCAACTGTAGCCTGTGACACCCACTGCAAGTACCCCCTGTTTACAGCAAGTCCTCTTCTTTTGGTGCCTCTTTCTGTGGCCACACTCACCCAGGCACCTCAATGCCAGGAGGGGAATATGCCTGTGTGTGTGTGTACACCAGCACCCCTGGGCGAGCAGCCTTCGGGGTGTACCCAGTCCTCGTGTCCCTGGACTCTGTGCCAATCTCCTTGGCAGCTCAGTGCATCGTGCTCCCCATGTTTGGGTCCTACAGACACGCACAGCCCTCCACCCAGATACTCCTACAGCTGCAGCCTTAGGATGAGAGAGGAGCCTGAACAGAGGGAAAGAAATCACATACTCCCAAAACTCAATCATTGGGGAGGTGGCGTTCGCAGGCACGGTCCTGTTGTCCCAGCTGGATCTATTCAGAATGTCCACACAGAGATCTACCGAAAGAAAAGGAAGCTGATGAGCCAGAGAAATTCTCCAAGGCTCCTTCCCCTCTGTACCCTAACACTCACTCTGGCAGCACACAGACCCTTCACCCCATGCTATAGAGCATCTCATTAAACTCGAGCATCTCATTAAGCATCTCATTAAACTCTGGCTCTCCCCAGCTACGAATCCCAATCCAGCAGTAGCCAGAGGGCTTCAGGAAGGGGAGAGGGGAAGGAGAGAGCAATTCCCTGCCAAATGGAAACCAGATGGCTGCAAAATATAGAGTATTGAGGGATAGCCACTATAAGTAGCCAGGATAGAAAATCCCATTCTCCTCCCACACCATGCACCATTCCCTGTCCACACATGCACACATATGTTCACACACACCACAGATGCCTTCATGTTCCACTCTGCCACCCCCAACCCTGTCACATAGCGTGAAATTACTAAAAACAGAGGAGATGCTGCGCATCCAAGAAATGCACCTCATCTTGCATTTGGCAAGCAAAAGGCAATCCACTGGAAAAGCTGAGGAAGCTTTGGCTTTCCCTGCTCTGGCTGGGAAGCTTCTGCCTGTTAAGAAAACATCTGTGGCTTGCCTCACAAACCAACCCATGCTGGGGAAGCTGAAGGAATCAGATCCACTCTTTAAAATCCTGGTTACCTCTGCTGGGATGAAGGGGCAGAGGAAGCTGTGAGTGAATGGCCCACAGGGTGGAGAGATTTAACACGTCACAGAAATGAACCATCTGACTCAAAAGAAAAAGGGAGGGAACCACACTGCCAACCAAAGCTCTTTCCAGCCTAGCTTTCCACTGAAAGCAATACAACCTGTTCAACATGGTAAAAAAAGTCTGTCAGGGACGTCGTGAGGATTACCTCACATCCACCCCATCTTCCCAGGCACAGCCCAAGTGCTTTGAACAAAACCAAACATTTATGTGAATTGTGGGTGTGAGGAGATGAGATCCCTGGCCAATGGTATAGAGGTTTGTATGTCATTACACCAGAAAACCAGTGCCTTTCGAGTTTTCTATTGCTGGTTCCTGCATTGGGAGACCTGTACTGGCAAAATCTTCCAGTGCAGGCTTGGCCTGATTTAGCCAAAAGCTGAGTGCACAAAGGAAACTGTTCAGTACATGGCAGCAACTGCCCCAGTAAATCTGAAGGAGTGGGGTAGAGTAAGATAAATTGTTGTGCCAGAGCTAATGAAAAGCTCCTGCCACGTGAGAAGGACTCTGAATTAGCTTGAAAACTCTCCCAATCCACCTACCTCTCCCACTTGCCAGAAAATGTGGATTTTTCAGTGAAATCTCAACCCCCCAAAACATCTCTGTGTGGAAATAGTTTTACTGTCCCCTGCTGCTAGGCATAGGGTCGTGGGACTCACCCTTCCTGACACTTGCCCATGATGAATGAAGACAGTCACTTTTGCAGGAGTCCCTAGCCACATAGCAGCTCATGAGAGCTTTTTATCTGAATAGAATATGTTTTCAACAAACCCTAAATAATTTCTGGGAATTGGGAGAAAATTAGAAGCTGACCAAGGGAAGCTGTACCTGAGTTCCAGGGGTTATTGCAGTTGGCCCATGGTAGCACTGTGGTGAAGGAGCTGAAGAGGTAGAAGAGTGCCCAGGAGAGAATGATGATGTAGTAGATATTCAGATAGCACTCGATGACTTGTGTGGCATATCCAATTCCTGTGAAGGAAAACGAAGGAGGTGAGGATAGGGCTGCCAACCAACTCCTGACACATTGGGCTTAGCCACAAACAAAGACATAGACCATGCCATGGTATGAAGGGTGCATCACCAGCTACATGGCTCACTAGAGAATCGGGCAAGAGAAAGGGAAAGAGAAAGAAGTTTGTGACCGTACATGCGGACAGGAAACATTGTTGGTATCTCTAGACAGGTTTATGGTGGAACAGAGAGAAAAACTTTTGCTGATGGGAAAACATTTTTCTGACCACTGCCATGCCACTGCATTACACTTCCACTCCTGCAGGAAAGCTAGCTCTAGCCTTGAAAGTAAAGAAATGCCACTACTGTCCTCCTCCAAGCTGTGTGCCAGAGCACAGGGGTCTCCAGCTCAGGGGGTCCCAGGCTCTCCAAGGCATTTCAAATAACATCTGTGCTTGAGCAAACTAGCCAGGCCTTTAATCTGCCTGAGAACAGGTTTCTCTGTCTGCAAATTTAGAGTAATAAGGTCTCCTCTGGACAGGAGAATTGTGAATGTTAGATTCATTAAGATATTAATGCCATTAAACAACCTTTCCCAGGGCCCCAGGAGTCCTGGTTCTTATACTTGTGCCTGAACAACAGCCCAGCCCATCTCTGGGCTGTCAGACCAGTGTGTGCAGAGTGATTCCCCCCCATTGTGCAGGAAACCAGCCTGCAAACGCTGCCAGAGCAGCCCTGAGCACAGCTACAGGCAGGGAAAGTGCCATAAGCCAGCCTTCCTCATCTTCTTGCCTCCTCAGTGTGTGTCCTGGACTATGCATGCAGCTGTTTGTGCACTAATACTTCCATCCTCCTCCTGCTGCTTGCTGGCCATCCTGTTGCTCCTCTCTCCAGGACTCCGAGCATCTCAAAGCAGAGGTTGTGGCTGGGCTGGACCAGCACAGCCCCCAGCCAGTGCCACAGCCCTCAGTCACCTACTGGGGGTGGTCAGTGCCCTCACTGCCCCTGCACACACAGCAGTCACCAGGAGGGACAGCACGGCTGGGAGAGAGAGGGAGGGAGGGAGAATAAAGGAGAAATAATAAAAAAAACAACAACAGAATAACTTTTCCAAAGAAGGCACTGAGTCACTAATTGTTAGAAAGTGCTGCCAGCAATTCCTGGAACTTGACTCACCTTCAAAGATGGGACAAATCTTCCTCCAGGCAGTGACCCCTCCCTGGTTGGTGTACTGTCCCAGCGCTGTCTCCAGGAAGAAGACGGGGATCCCACAGGTGAAGAGGAAGATGAGGTAAGGGATGAGGAATGCTCCTGCAGAGAGGGGTGAGATGCTACCTCAGGAACCTCTTTAAAACCCTGTCCTCATCATTCCCTGCCAGGTACCTGGGGCCACAGCTGGACTCGGTTAAATAAACACAAACATTTCCCTGAATTAACTGCGCAACCTCTGCTAAAAACAAGGTCTCCAACACCATTGTTGGAGAAAAAAAAATACAAGTGTGGTCTATCTTGTGCTACTGCAGTATTTCTGAGCCCAGTCCTGGCCAAAACCTAGAGGTAAGGAGTAGCAGAGTGAGGAGGGAAAAAAAGATGGTGCTGGAGAAGTTCTCACTGCTTCACTCTCATGACCTCATTCTCGCTTTCAGCAGGAGTCAGGCAAAGCAAAAGGAGTCCTTGTTTCACATAACCACATTTGTTCTGCCTTCCCCAGGAGTCACAGCAAAACTCCCACTTGTCCAGAGGATACAAACCTGGAGGCTGGTGACATTTCTTGGTAAGTAATAAATTTTGCGGGATATAAATTTGCTTGAGACGTGTTTCACATCAAATTTGAAATGCAATTTGCGCCAAAAGAATAGAAATAGGGGAAGGGCAACAGACTATCTTTCCAGCATTTTCAAAATGAAAAAGTTTAACTTCTCTCTTCAAATTCAATTTTTTAATTAAAATATAGAGAAATGTCTTAGGAGAAATCAGCCTGAAATAGCCCTCAGATTAACCCTTGATGAAATGGAAGAGGAAGGGGAGAGAGAGAAGGTTTTTTCCCAGAAACAATGACCAACAAAAACAATGCATCAGAAAATACAAACAAAAGAAAATCAAACAAAAAAGGGTTATGCCCTCTTCAGCCATCTGAATTTTTTACCCCTTCTTTTCAGTTCTGCTGCCAAACCAAAACACCCAATACTTTCATTGTTCTGCTCAAAACTGCTCCTGCAATCTCAGTTTCACTGCTGACCTCCCTTCTATCACCTCACAGTTTTTCTCCCCATCATTACTGTAGGTTTTCACACTTTTACTCCCTGCCAAACAGGACAAGGTAACTGCCTTCCTCCCTGGAACAACTGTCGAGGTCTTGCCATCCCAGAGAGTAAACTGTTGCTCACAAGTATCTCCCACTAAAAGTTCCTGGAGAGCATCTTCAGCTGTTTGCAACCAAGATGAGGGCCCCTTTCTCACCCCAGCCAGAAGTGGTCCCACAGGTCCCCTTCTCCCCTGCCAGCACAGGCATTCGCCCTGAAAATCCTTCCCATGACAATTAGCAGCTAGGAACACTTCCCCTTGTTTTTAAGCCAACAATGTTCCAATAACAAGCAACATCCAAATCTCCCCTAAACACAGCTGTGCCGTAGCTGCAGGGGACCTGGGGCTAGAGGGAGGGAGGCTGGTTCACAGCACAGGTCCAGGTTTGCAGAGCAAGGAGTGGGAACTGCATGAGCTAAACTAGAGGCAGCTGCTGCTTTCGGTGCCGCAAGACATCTATCTGTATGCCAAATCTGCAAGACAGCTTTATTATCCTGCACACAGATGAGCTTTCCAGCAGGTCCCAGAACCTCTCCTCTGATATCATTTGTCCCGGAGGTTGAGCCATTTTGGTCTCTGAGTAATGAGGGCTTTCTTACACCTCTATTGTCTTGCCTCTCTTAATTTTCCCAGAATGGCTACGAGCTGAAACTCCAGTTGTGATCTCCTCCCGGTTTTCTGCTCTGCTGGAGGAGACCCAGCCTTGCGAGGGGTCCCCAGAAACAGACCCTCTTTCCTGACAAGTTAATAACAAGCCCAGAATGCTGAGCAATTAGATCAGATTTGAAAGTGCAAGTTTACGCTGGGTTGCTCTACAGCAAGTCAGCACAATCTTTTTTAGGACATCTGTCTTTACAGCTTTATAGCAGTCTCACTAGATCTGAAGGTGGAGAAAGGTGACAGGACAGCAGTCTCCACGTTGGGTTGGAGCGTGTGTGTGTTGGGGAGGGTGGTGGTAGTGGAATTTATAGGTGAAGAATGTCTGTTTTGCAATTTCAAGAACTTTTCCAGTGGTAAGAACATCGTTGAGTGTCATGGGAAACACAGTACTGTGTCCCATATGAGTTTGCTGGCCATCTGGTTCCCTAGAGCTCTAGAGAGAGAAATGTACCTCCCACAGTAGTAGCCTACTTTCTGCAATGACAGTGCATGAGCTGTCAGGGAAGGACTCTCCCATCCTAATCTTTCCCAAGCCTCTGAATCACAGCCTTAGATGTTCCAGAGTAGTATTATTCAATAGATATCTAAAATGAACAAAAGTATCCTTTTCACTTATACTAATTAGCATACAAATTGCAAGGACTGCTGAACCAGGTACCATAGGCATAAACTATGCAAAGATATCATCTGAGCTCAGGAAGGAATTTTCCATGCAAAAACCATGACTTCTCTCTCAAAGCGTCACTGCAGAATGGGCTGCTCAGTCAGATACACCACTAGTGTTCACTAACCCATGCCAGTCTGGCTTGTGTTTGGTGCCTCCAGTGCCTACCATCAAAACCTCAAAGAAGAAGACTAGAGGATCTACTAAAAACCATTCCAGGTTCAAGAAAACCTCTTTCCGTTTTCTTTAACCGTCCTCTTATCCGACCCCCATTTGCTTCAGAGGAGACATTGTATTGACTTCTGCTTGACTTGGATAAACTCCAACAACAGCACAGGGGACATGAATTTGGTAGTCCTGGGATGAACAACAGCTAAATCACTCATCCATTGGTGACAGCTCACAGCACCTTGGGAAAGAAATGCCTTTTTGTCATGGTCTGCAGAGAAAGGAAGTTTAAAATGTGGGGAACATGCACGTCCCAAACTGTTAGTTTAAGGTGTTTCTAGAGAACAAGGACAAAAGAGAAGTTATTGCTGTATTTGACATGTAATTTATTATTCCTCCTTTTCTTTTATAAAGTTAGATTTTGATTCACCAAGAAAAGTTAGTGACAGTCAATTATTGCCTTCTTCTTTTCCAGTTCCATTTTATTGTTATGAAAAAGCTTAATTTTTAACCATTGCAGTGTTAGTGCAGATCTTATTGCAGTGTTACTTGAAAAAGAGAGTTATGCAAGAAACAAAGGGAAAGGGGAATTAATTCTTCCTGGGGATGGATTTTCCTAGCAGTGGGGTGACCACTGGGGGAACTATTCCTAGGAAAGAGGTAGCAATATCCTTCTTCCAGACACGATCTGTCTCTAGAGGTGCCCAAGAGCCTTGAAGAATTACTAAAGTTCAATTCAGCATCCAAACTCTGGAGAGCTGCTTTCAGAAACAGTACCCACTGGGGAACTGGATTCACCCCTCAGTGCTACTCCTTCTGGCTTTGCCAGAAGCTAACTTGCTTGAGGTGAGGGCAAGGGAGTGCATGTAGGGGCACATGAGGCATAGGAGAAACAGGTCCAGTCAGGCATGTATCTCTAGTTTTGCCTACAGACCTAGGACAACTCATGCACGCTATGAACTTACCACCGCCATTCTTGTAGCAGAGGTATGGGAACCTCCACACATTACCCAGACCAATGATCTCCCCGGCCACAGACAGCACAAACTCCACTTTGCTGCTCCACTGGCCTCTCTCTTCCATTTCTTCCTTTTTTATCTCTTCAGGAACTGTGATGGCCCCATTAGGCTCTCCTTCCTTAGCTACAGCTCTTGTCATGGCTCTGTGGGACAGAAGAAAAAGAGATCATGGGACATAGGGAGCCGCTGTGGGACATGCTGGTGGGAAGAGGAGGGAGGGGACCAGTAACCACAATAGATGTCTTCCTGTTATCCCCATGAGGTTCTCCTCATCCTTGGGAAAATGGATTATTTAGCATCAGGATGAAGCATTTTCCCAAGTAATGTCTGTAGAACAGAAAGTTGTTTCTAAAGCAACAGAGAAAAGGTCACCAATCAGGTGAGAAGGACCCACCTGCATCATCCCTTCACTGGACTTACCCCCAGATTCACCCTCCCCCCCGCCCCCCACCAGTACTCTTCCTCATTCTTCCCAGACCACCTCCTTACTGTACCTTCATCTGCCCCTCAGCACAATGGCTAAATGCTCTGCATCTCCACCACAGCTGGAAACTTGTCTGGGACTTTGGAAACAGTAATTCAGAGGAAGAGAAAAGCAGCTGGAGCTGAAGCAGTGTATGGGGGCAGGAGTTTCTCTTCCCCATGGGCTTTATACAGCAATTGTCTCCTTTTGAAGTAGTTTCAGAGAATAGGATAGAAATGATGTGGACTAATAGATGGAACAAGAATGGATGACCTACCACCTTATTTCAAGGCATTGCCAGGAGTGCTGTCTCTGACCCCCTGGACACCATGTCACACTACCATGCAGCCTTCTAGGTGTTTCAGGTCTAGGTTAGTAGGAAAAAGCCCAGCTATGGAAACACAGAGTAAAGTCACTGTTGGAGGAGGCACGTTGAATGTGGCTGGGCCTATAGGCTGGGACAAGGAAGACATTCTCCACTCTATACTAAATCCTGAATAACGTTTAGCAGCACCTTAATTAAGCAAAGTTAGTGCCTGCTTGTTACAAGATACATTTTTCTGTCATACACAAAGTCCTTTAATTGGTTAGTTAATTTAAATTTAGCCAACATTCATACAGACCAGATTGAATCTCCTTGTTGACAACATTTTTGTATTGTTTACAGGCATTTGATTATGAGAAGAAACTAAAGTGTGAAGAAAGAAAGGTCCCTTTGACTTAGTTAAAAACATTCTCCTCAATGCACAGGTGAGTCCAGGCAGAAAGCACACACCTAACCCGAGAAGGATAGCTGATGAACTATGCCAGTGAAGCTCTAAGCATAGCTACACTTCACTGGTGGCATTACTGAGCAGAAGTTGGCCTTTGAAGGAGTGATTGGCATCAGCAAGGACACATATGTTCATGTTGGGATTAGGAAACTACACTGGAAACAAGCCTCTCCAAAGCAGCAGCATCTCTGCTACAGGCTTCCATTCCCATCAGCTGTGAGTGCTAAGAAATCAGGTTTTTGTCTCTTCATATTATCTCGCAGATTTGTTTTGTTGGTGGTTTGATAGGTTTTTTAATAGCATATCTATCATTCCATCTGTGCCTCCTAAAGGGACATCCCTGCCTCCAGGGAGCATCAGGGACAGGAGTTTACATCATCCATACTACTTAACTCTTCCTCTGCCCCAGATCTGCTCTGGACCATGTCAGCTTGCTCTCTCCCAGGCAAAGTCCAAGCACGGCTTTGGAGGTGGCTTAGTCCAGGGAGCTCTCCCAGTCAGCACAATGAGCAAGACCTCACCACGCTTGATATCCTCTACCTGATAGGATCACCAAAGTGATCCATCAACCTTTTGCACCAGGACCATGATGACAAGCTGTTCCCTCCCTCCTTCTGCCTAGTCTCTCTCCATTCATCTCCCTCTGGGCTAGTGTCAATCAGGGCATGAGCCATCTCATGAGGAGAAGGGACTGCCAGGGAGCCTGAGCTTACTGGGAATTAGCACAAGTGTGATCCTAACATCAAACTGCCCCGGTAGCCTAGAAACACCATGGTGCTTGTTTTGGTGTAGTTTCCAATGAGGCAAGGGGGAAGCAGGAGCAGGAACTGTTTGGCCGTGCCTGTGCTTACTGCACACAAGACAGCATCATTACCACTGTGTCTCATTTGCTTCTGTAAGTTGCCCGGTGCAAACAAAATTATTTCCTAAATGCTAACCCTCTGGATATATCAGGCCCTGGGGCAAAGACAGATGCTTGCATATGAAAAGACAACTTTTATTGAATGCTCATAGCAAAGCAAGCAGTTTTTGGCACAAAGCATGCTTCCTCCCTCTGTCATTCAAATACAGAAAGAAAACCAGATCTCACAGTATAATACACCAATTGCTCTCTAAATGCCGAGGGCAAAAACAGTCTTTGTTCCCCCATCTGCCTTGGTGCTGAAGGGCTCATCCTATTCCCTTTGAAATCCCATTTCCATGGACTCTGAATGCAGAGGACTGATTCCCATACAAGGCATTAACACTGCCTTCAGTAAGAGGGGCTGCAGCAAGAACAAGGGAGCACAAACGAGGGAGGAGAGCAGTCAAGGGTCAGCAAAGACCATCTTCCAGGCTATATAGCTGCCTCTTCAAGAATATTGCAGAAACATTCTGGTCCCCTATTAAATTTGGGAGTTATTTCCAACGAGGGCTTTCACATGGGAAGTACCTCTGTGGGCACAACCAGTTTCAGTGTCAAATGCAGATGCACCAGGGCACTAAGAAAGCAACCTCCCTCTTTTCACCAGCTCTTGCCCTTTATGGTCCATATGCTGGAAGGCACCCATTTACCGGTATGGCTTGTGTTGCCCCAAACTCACCAGGTACTGCAGGACGTGTGGATCCACACTTGAGCGTGCTGCTGAATCAGTCCTCTAACAGGCTTATACAAACCTCTAACCCCACATTTAAAGAAGGTAAAAACCCTAGAAATCAAGGCCCACACCCTAAATGCTGGCGGATGCGGAGCTAGCAGCTCTGCAGCTCACCAGCACGGAGATCTTCCCAGTCCTAGAGCTTTGCCCCCATCACTTAGCTCGCCTGCTGGGTTGGATGGGGAGGTGGAAGCATCAGGTTCCTCCTGCCAGTCTTTTCTCAGCTTCTGAAACCCAGGCAAGGCCCCTTTCCCCACTGCCTGCCTGCAGCAAGGCCTGCCAGCTGGCTAATCAGTTCATTCAGATGCTGCAGCACAGCCTCCTCATCTTTGAGAGGAGCAGAGCTCCACGCACTGTCAAATGTGAGAGGAAAAAAATAACACATACTTAATGAAACGTGTTTGATCTGCCACAGTCCCTGGCACATTCCAATTTGCTGCAGTCCAGGGCACATTATCAAGTACAATGATGCTTAAGTCTAGGCTTATTGAGGATGTCATGAGAAGCTGACGGGAGAGGAATTAGCTAATTCTTTGCTTTTATTCTTTTAATGCAAGGTGGATTCAAGAGCCAGCCAATTTCTGCTAATATTTGTGTTTTACCTGGTTTTGTGTTAGACCAGTTTCACGCAGGGATGGGAAGGATTGCTATCGGGGAGTCACCTCCCCTCACCTAACCCCAGGAAGGGAACGCCCTGGGTGCCAGCCTGCAGCTTCAACCTTGTCACCAGCCTCCACCTCAGGGATACCTGGGCCAGGGCTTTGACTCTGCACCTGTTTTCTGCCTCCAGAAGAGGCCAACACAAAGGATGGAAGCTGGGATGCTGCAATGGGGAACAGGGCTGGGACAAACACAGACCAGCAGGGAGGATGTGGTTCTCGTGGCTTCATTTTCCTATATTAAAAAAGGGGGAAAGCACCCTGGAATCAAACTTTTTCAACTGGGAACAGGTGGCAGATTAAATCGGTGCCCAAAGTTTTGTCCCTTCGTGCCATGAACTTCAGCTTCTCCCTTCCCAGACAAAGCGACACACAGCATTACACATCCCCTCCTCTGCTTTGCCTGCTGTTTCTATGAGAAAGCCTATTCACACACCTCCTGGATCTTTTCCTGAACATCCAATCCTACTGTGCCCCTACCCTATATGTTCTCAGGCCAGATGGGGACTGAAATAACTTCTTGTTTCCAGCTAGGAACAATTTGACTCTCCCACAGCAGCCGCAGCCACCCCCTGTGTTACATCCTCCCCAACGGGCAGACATTTTCTTCCCCCTTTGAAAACCTCTCTCCTTAATACATGAGTTTGGAGAAAAGACTTTGCGCCTTGCTGCCTGCCTTCACTTTTTCTGCTGATCCTTCGCCACAGTTCGGAGGAAAAAAAAAAATCCTCTGACTCCTTCATTCTCAGCCTCTTTTCTTTCCTCTGCCGTAAAGTTTTCCCCACTGTTAAGATGCCATCCGACATAATCGACAATCTACCCCCTTCTGGACCCACTCATCTACCACCACCACCTCCTCCTCATTTCCCTCAGACCTCACCAGTCTCTTCTAGAGGTGCCCTGCTGTATTTTCAGCCCTCAGTACTTTGAGGAGGTGCCTTTTTCCAGGGCTGGAGTATCCTTTGCGGACATGAACCCCAGTCTGTTATCTTCCCACGGAGAAGAGGGGGCTTCCCCCATGCCCAGTGCAACAGGCAGCTCTGTATGAAATCTTTGGCTTGGTATTGGGCTTGGTGTGTGGAGGCAGCCACATTTTTCCCGACAAGATTTACCACTGAGAAAATATTAATACATGTGAAGCACTGAACAGGTTGCCCAGAAAAGTAGTGGATGCCCCATCCCTGGAGGTGTTCAAGGCCAGGCTGGATGGGGCTTTGAGCAACCTGGTCTGGTGGGAGGTGTCCCTGCCCATGGCAGGGGGGTTGGAACTAGATGATCTGTAAGGTCCCTTCCAACTCTAACCATTCTATGATTCTATGTGGATTCCCACAGGTACTGAAATGAGAGCTGGCAGCCATAAACACAGACCACTCCAAAAATTCCCTTCTTCTAGATTTGAATGAGGTAGCCCAGTCTCCCCTTGGTCATGAATTTTGGGCTACGTTTTTCCCACACCTACCACCATGGGATCCTTCAATTATGGCCACAAAAGGCAAAGAAAGCCAAGGACACCTCTGAAGTGCTGTGGACACTCAACAGATATGCAGGAGAACAGTGTTTGTTGGATTTATCTGGGAACAAGCTGACACTAAAGGGGTGAGGCAGGAAAAAGAGAACGAGAAGTGTCCTTTGAAAGTGAAACACGGTGGTATGGTGGTATGCTCAACCTCTCCCAGGGCAATGAGAGCTTATTCAGGGCTGCTCAGGTGAGACAAGGAAGAAGAGGAAGAAATAAGACAAAGAAGAGAAAAAAAAAAACAAAGGAGAAAGAAGAGCAAGAAGCCACCTGGGATTTTGGCACCAGAGGAAGAAGCCATTAGAGATTGTCCTAAAGCTTTTCTCCCCACAGACCTACTGCCTGTTCCCAACTGCCGTCACACAGGAGCTCCTACTGCTGGGGAGTTAACATCCTCCCTTTGACCTCTGCTGCTGTTTTATCTTAAGGCAAACAAGAGGAGGACAAGTGCAAGAGTGAACAGAGATGCCATCAAAAAGCAGATGATCACGCTTGTTAGAGAAAGACCTCTTTTTTAAGTGTGGACACTCATAGGTGCTGCCTGAGCTGCAGAAGGCAAAATTGCAGGTGATGCTGCAGACAGCTGCACTGCATTTATATTTCTGGGTTTCCTTTTGAAACGGGCAGCAACCGAGCACGCAAACGGCAATTTAAGGTAGGGCGGGAGGAACCAGAAAACAAGCAGTCTGGGCTGTGTTACAAAAGGAGGAGCGGGAGGAGGCAGAAAACCCTCCGGTTGCACAAGATGAGCCAGCAGTTAGTCGGCAGCTGAGATCCTGCCTTGCATTGCGATGGCAGGAGGCGGGGGCGGTCGTGGGAGCAGGGACAGAAAATCAGGGCTCAGCGAGGAACAGCAGTGCCAAGGCAGAGCTTAAAGGACAGACCCAGTTAGATTAGCGCGCGGGGGCTGCTGCTGGAATAGGTCGTATCTGCAAGATGGACAGGAAAATATTAGCTGTAGAAGTAAGTGCTTTCCAGCCAATCTAAGAGCAGCTACGTGAGCAAGGGATGGCTGCTTCCAAACCGAAATGCTGGTGGAGAAAGGCTCACTCCAGCTGCACGAAGGAGAAAAGCAAGGAAAGACGTAGCAAGAGAAAACTGATCAACTCTGCGACAGCAGCAGAAATTAAAATGCCTCTCATTTCAAGCCGTTGAAAGCTAGTTGGCTTCTTTACACCTTCTAATTAACTTCCAGCTTGTGTGGGCTGCAGGGCATTCTCAAAGCATCTGTTCAGCAAGGTTCATGGGGCACAAGAGACTGTGGCAAGGACCAGATCCTGCTTGCATTTTCTCCAACATGAAATAAGAGCAACACTTCCGCAGTTAGTGAGTTTGCTGCTTACTGGCACCAGCAAGAGTGAGATAAGAAGCAACTGTGAGTTTACTAATGACATGTACATCTGTGATACAAGCTGCAAGGATTATGGAGCATCATCCTTCAGAGTACGCATCTCCAGCTTGGAAGCGGACCAAATGGTTCCTGCCCTGTTCTCTGCTACCAGGACAGGAGAGCCTCTCAAGTACCTGACGGTGGCTGGACTTTCCTGAGGGCCAGTGACAAACCCCTTGCTAACAGCAGTATAGGCTGTTGTTCTCAGCGCCAGTTCAGTCTCTGTCAGTGCCTGTGGCACACCTTCCCTGCTCTGAGCTACAGAGACACAGAGGTGGTTTCTTACTCTTGAAAAAATTCAAGACTAACTGATCAAGTCGCTAAATGGGGTGTAAATGCGACCAGAAACCTGCCTCTGCCTTTGCATTAAATGAAATATGTTCCAGACCTCCACTGAGCCCATAGCCTGCTTGTATCTGCTGCCACGTAACAGAAGGTCCAGTAGCACACAACCACAGCAGGACCCATCTTTCTTACAGAGCATCACAGCGGCAGGAGTCCTACAGACATAAAGCCAGTCTGGTCCCAGCCTGGCACCGCCAGAGCCCCCACAGCCACCCATCTGGTGGCTGAAGGTGTCTGGCCGAAGTCCTGCAGCTGCATCAGGCTTGCTGAGAGGTCCTTGGGCCCAGCTGAAGCATGGGGACAGCAAGGCTCTCTTCACCGGTTGGAGGAGCAGAGCAGGTGAAGGGCACAGAGGGTGACAGCCACACTGCTCCAGCACCCACTCTGCAAACAGGGGCAGTAGGGGCACCGGGGGGCAGTGACCCATGGGGCAGTCCAGAGGTACCCCACAGGGACAGGACAAAGTCCTCAGGAGTGGACACCGTGGCTACAGGGCTGCCACCCCACCAGGGCAGCAAATTCATGGAATGAGGCACGCCACCAGGCAGTCCCGGGAAGGTCAGGTGAAGGGAGGGAGGCTGCCAGCCCCCAGTGCCATGGCTCAGCTGCCTGCTGCTGACCCAGGCCAGCCTGAGGGGTTAGGGAAGGGTGGGCAGCAAGGCAACCACCCCCTGGAGGTGCATCAGACCCCTGCAGTGCCTAAAATCTGAACCTTGCAGTCACTTCCCTGGGGCTGCAGCTCTGGGGCAGGGGGGCAGAGGAGCCAGCACCTCCTAAAGTCTCCTGTTCAGGGGTGGGACAGCAGCATAGAAGATTCAGCATCACACTGCTCTAAGCACTTCTAGCTAAACACCCCCAGGCAACACCCTGTGCAACCTCCCAAAAGCACAGCCTGGGGACACCCACTGTCAAAGTGACAAGTGATGGGGAGCGTGAGGAAAGAGTACGCACGCAAAACTATTCTGAAAGTAAAGTGAGGGTATGGCATGAAATCATAGAATCATCTAGGTTGGAAGGGACCTTCAAGATCATCTAGTCCAACCATCAACCTAACTCTGATCAAAAAAAAAACATCACTAAACCATGTCCCCCCAGCACCATATCAACCCATCTTTTGAACACCTCCAGGGATGGTGCCTCAACCACTTCCCTGGGCAGCCCATTCCAATGCTTGATAGCCCTTTCAGTGTAAAAATTCTTCCTAATATCCAACCTGAACCTCACCTCAACCTGAAATGTTACCTTATGCCTCAGCACGGAGGATGGCAGAAGCCATCAGATTATTTGGCAGGGCAGAGATGTGTGTGTAGCCATTGCAGAGCAGCGGGGCCATGACGCGCAGGCGCCCCACTGCAATCCTCCCCGCAGCCCAAACTGAGCTCCCTCTCCAGCCCTGCACCCCACATCCCACTCAGGTGTGGGCTCAGCATCTGCCTGCCTGGCATCGGGGAGGCTCAGCCATTTCCAGTTGGTGCACGGGACAAGTCACCTCATGGCAAATTGGGACAGGCAGAGGCAGGCGTGGGCTGTGACTCTAAAAGTGCCGTAACCCCTTCCTGGCTGTACCTGCTGCAGTGCATGCCAGTCCCGTTCACCTGGGGTAATAGGGACTGCATCCTACCCGTACCCTCCAGGAGGAGAGGTATCTGCTCTCCAGCCTGGGGCACCAAAACTTTCCTGTAGCCCAGGAGTTAGAGATACGGCAGTTAGAGATGCAGAGCAGGGCTTGTTACCCTGTCCTCTGCCACGACCACATCTGCACCCACGAATCCAGCAAAGCTGGGATGTTGCAGAGCTGCAAAGGGCAGGTCCAAGGTTCAGCCTCTGATATCAGCGGCTGTCAAAGAGGAAAAACCAGGGCAATGGCACTTCCAATGGCATTGGATGAAAGCCCTGATTAGCCGTGATTACTTTGAAAGCATTGTTGATTTAAGGAGACACAGATCAAGTGTTATGAAACCCCCACGTGTTCTGCCTGGGTTTGCTCACAAATATGCTCACACAGATCCCCAAAGTTTGGCACCTGCACAAACTGTGCTGTCTCCCTGCCTCACCCTTACATGGGAACAAATCTGATGAAGCTCCCGGGACAAGAATAATAAGGAGAATGCTCTCAGACACATCTCTTAGAGCTGCAGCCCCCAAGTCAATGTACCAGGGCCAGCATCTCTGTAGGGCAGCACAGGAGGAGAGGGAGTCACTGCCTCGTTTTTGCAGGAGCTGAAATGCCTACAGCCTACCTCACGCCTAGCACCTTTCCTCCTGTACCTATTGTCTCCTAGCCATCGCTTCTCTCCATCCCCATCCCTCTCTGGCCCCCTCTCATCTCTCTTTTCAATCTTTCTGCTGTCTGAGTCCTTTTATTTCTCCCTCTCTGCCGCCACAGCCTTCAGTACCAATTAACCATCTTTCAGGCATCAATTTGCTCTGCAGCTTCCCGGCAGCCCCCAGCAGCATTGCTGCCTGTCCTCTCCTGTAAGAACCACTGAAAGAAAAGGCTCTTCCCTGGGTTGATCCAAACTGTTTATTCGCTCCCCATCATCCTCCAGCTCGCTCTTCCTTTGCTTCATGTTGGGAAGCTTTTCCCCTGGCAGATTTGCTGGCCCCACTCCCCAGAGCAGGGCAGGCAGCTGGCAAGGAGCAGCTGGATGTGGGAGGACCAGAGACACCAACAGTCCCAGCGTGACATGCACACCCAGCCAGATCTGCAAATGCTCAACTCACCTGAACCCAGAGCAGGTCTCCCCAAGGCAAGCCCGTCCTGTTCTGTCCCGTCCCACCGGAGTCCAGACAAGGAATCCACTGAATGCCAAAGAGATACAGCAGGAGTTAAGGCAAAGTCTCCCCTCTCTCCTCCTCCTGTCCCTCCCCCTTCGCCAGCTCTCCCCACCAAATTATCACCCAGCTCATGTGTGGGTGGTGGGATGGCAGGAAGGGAGGTGCATCAGGGCAGGAGAACTTTCTCCCCAGCTCCCTTACAACACACACCTCTCCAGGCCTTGAACTGTGGTCCTGACAGGAGAACAAAGAAAGCAAGCAGCCCTGGTCAGGCAGGGTGAAGGCCTGGAGTTTGCAAAGATCAACCACAGCCATCAGTGGAGCAACTCCAGGACCTCTTGACCTCAGTGGGATGTAGCTCTCCCATTGCAGACCCTGCAGCACGGCCCAGGCTGGCTGCTGCACACCCCCACTGCTCTGGGGGGGCTCCAGTACTTTAATGGGGTAGTGACATCCCTTAAAATCACACTGCAAACATGCAGAATGAATTGTGTCTACCTCTGGGGACTGCTAAAGCACTGAACCTGCTTCAGCGGCCAAGCTGGAGGGAAAGCTCCCCAACCCCAACAGGCAAACGGAGCAAAAGGCAGAAAGTGGGTGGAAGGTTTGTCCCAGGCTCACACAGACCCCTCTGTGCCTGTGCCATACGCAGCCAGAGCAAACACAGCTCGTAGGAGAGGGCCCTCTCAGCAGGGAGAGACACTGCCGGAGTTTTTATTTTTACAGTGTCTGTGTGCTCGCCAGAAGTGAGCAATCCCTCCGTGCCTTTGCCTTGGCAGCTTTCTTGGTATCCACCTCAGCCCCGATGTACTTTTCCAGTGCTTCTCGTGAACAACACCAGCAGCAGGCATTTCAGTTATGCCAGCTTCTCAAGATAGTTCTTCTCAATTCGTTTGTTTGTTTTTTTTAATGTTATGTTTAATGCTATTATTGTTTTGTCTTTCGCTTTGTCTGTTAACGTGCCTGCCAAATTCCCATTGACCTTTTCATGTACCCATGGAAGTCAAACCACAGCAGCACGTGGGATGGAAGCTAGGACACATCCAGCACATGCTCCTATCTGCTCGTCTGTGTCAGCTCTCACAAGATGAGCATCCCCCGGCCCCCTCAGTGGGAAACCTGGGAGCTGACAAAAGCCCTCACATCCACAGAGCGTGGAAGTGGTAGGTTTATATGCCTGCACACTCTAAAGAGGTCGTTTGTAATGTCTCAAAAAAAATCCTCCACGGGTGCCAGAAGCCAGTGAATCAGATGACATTAGAGCGTGCCAGATTGCCTGGGGAAAAATGATGCTGGAACTGTGTGTGAAGGGAGTCACCCTTGTGCATGGCGGGATCCTCAGGATAAACTACTGAGGCCAGGGCTGGAGGCAGTAGAAGAAAATATCTCCTCCTACTTTTGGGGGTGTTTGTTTACTACCTCAGCTGACACTGGGGGCAGTTGGTCTGAGCCCACCCTGCTGGACAGTGCAAAGAGGGGGAAGAGCATCTTGGGTTGAGGGCTGGGGGGCATCCCTGGGACTGGGGAGCTCTGAGCCAGCCCAGTCTCACCCCAGAGACCCCAGTTGGGCAAGGGGGCTGAGAGGGCAGAGGGTTGGGGGTGCAGCTGGTGCAAGGCAATGCCTCTTCACAGGCAGGCAAAGACGACATGCAGTACCCAGTTTCCAGGATTAAACTTTCCAAGTGTGCCATTATTCAAAGCCCTGGACTTTCACCTACCATTTGGGCTGGTTGAGTGGGTTAGTCCCATACTCAAAGAAATACAGGCTGGTTCTTCCCTTGCAGGGGCTGGGATCAACGTTGGAGGGGCCAGGCTCCATCTTCTGCCTTTTGGGGGCCGTCCCTGAAGTCCTGAAAGACTGTAAGGTGAACGTCATGTGATGGCTACACAACACAGACACTGCCTGCCCTCCGTCCCCAAGGATGAAGGGCAGTGCCACTGCCCCTCCTGCCACAGAGGACCAGTGTGACCCAGCACAGCTGGGGGAAAGGTGCAATAGAGGTTATCCAGATATGAAAAGGGGATTGAGATAAGCCTAGGTAAGCAGAGCTGACCTAAAAACTTGATTTATCCACACTGAAGGGTTTCACAGGAACATCACAGGTTTTTTTGCAAAACTGTAGATGGGAAATGACCTGTGACATTAAGGTAAAACAAGAAGAAAGTCAAGCTAAATGAAAACTTTATCCAGCAATGTGTGAAAATCATTCTCCAGCGGGGGAAAAAAAAAAAAAAAAGGATGCTATTTCTGCTTTCCAGCCCAGAAGGTACCAGAAGCTATGCTCAGGCTTCAGAGCTTCCCACCAGGCAATAATTCACTGTGGTTTTAAGTCCTGCTACAGGCACGGGGGGGATGTTTATCCCACTGTGGCAGCCTCCACGTTAGGGACTGCACTAGTGTGACAGCCCAAACTGAAAACCAGAAATCGCCTTCTGGCCAGCTCAGCTGTGGGGTTCGGACTGTGCTCAGCCCCATCCCAGGAGAGAGCAAGGGAAGGGGTGACGCACTCCCTGACTACTAATTGCCACCTTGGCTGGCAGAGACAGCCCCCGAGCAGGCACCCTGGGCTACACAGCTGCACAGGTAGGACAAGGCTGCTAAAGGACATGGCAATCTGACTGCAGGTTTCCCTGCAGCATGGGTCCCTCCCATGGGGGTTAGCAGGGGGATTTTCAGCCAGACGCAAATTCGTGAGCAAGTGCAATGAGAAGAGCCCCAGCCAAGGCTGGCACAGGGGTCAGCACTGCCAGGGATGAGCCCGAGGAGCTTCTAGGAGGGAGATAAATGCCAGCCCCAGGATGGGCATCTTGATGCAGGGATATGTAGGGAGCTGAGGGGGAAGAAGCATCCCTCCTGGCAGCAGGGATGGGGACAGCGTAGGTAAGGCTGCTTTTAAACATGCCCAAAAGGAAAACACTGCTTTCAATAAACCCTGGAAACACTCAAAGCACCCCATACCCAGGCAGCATGAACCCCTCTTAGAGCTAGGACACCCCCCGCCGTGTGTGGCCCTGACACCAGCAGCCCTAAACTCTCCGTAACCCTCCCCACAGTGCTTTGCAAAGGAAGGGATGGCAGCATCCCACTTCACAGGCAGGAAAACCAAGACAAGAGGAAGCCCCATGGCTGTCCCCGAGGGCCAGCAGCCTTCTTGCCAGTAGGTCCTGCACATAGCCTCAAGCTGTGGGATACTCTTCTGCCTTGGCATCAGTGGATTTGCCACACGGCTGGTGCCCCCCTGCTCAGTGACTGAGTTTGGCTCAGCCATTCTGACCCCACTGTCCTGAGGATCTAAGTGATGGGGATGGGCTTCCCCACACTACTGAGCTTCATGGAAGCCACCTCAGGTCAGCAGGAGCGAGTGGCCCCTGTAGGAGGGGGCTGCCCCGAGTACACACAGGGTGCACAGGAGGAATGGGAAAGCACTGCTGGCCCACCACACAGATGGACCTGCTCTCTCTGCAGCCATCAGCCCAGAGCCTGACACATGGGTTTTCATCCCCTCCTGTCAGCAGAGTGGGAAAGGTGTCCTCAAAACAACCTGATTCCCTCAGCCTGCCATACCCAGGGTGGCTGGAGACCAGGGCTCAGCCTGCCACACCAGCCTTTGCCCTGACAGATGGCTAACCCCAACCTCAGAGATGTCCTGCACCTCTGCAAAGGTTTCTCCTCCCCACCCCACACACTGCCTGCCAGCTGGTAGTGCACCCTTGCCTCCCTTCTCACCTTCTCTTTTCCTTCCTTAGAGTACATATTGGCTTTTCCCATTATTTGGGTCTCCCCACCGTTTCCTTCCTTTTGGCCAGCTCTGACATGCCTCCCAAAGAGCCAGCCTGGAGTGGCAGGTTGCCACCATCAGCCCACACCTGGCCACACTCCCCAGCAGCAGAAACCCTGGGCCCCCATGAAGCTTCCTTCCTCCAACAGCCAGCGAGATGTAGGGCTTCAAGCCAAAACAAGTCCTTTTTTCCCCAGCCCAGCTTCTGGGAGCAGTCTGTCAGCGTGACACCTCACGGGTGCATATCCAAAATGCGCTCCTCCTCTCCAAATGTCAGGGGCTGGAGGAGGCAGGCACCGGGTTTTGTGTTGGAGACAGAGAAGCCTGCAGCCCTGGCTACCCACCTTGTTGGGCAACCAGCGGGAGAAGCCACCACTGTCCTCACTTGTCCAGACTAATCCCACCTTTTGACACCTTCTCTAACAAAAGAGGAGCAACACCGGGCACAGCGCCGCTGCTTCTTCAGTCGGGAGCTTGCCTGGCTGACTGAATGCCATGTTTGCAGAGGAGCTTCCCCTGACCGTTCGTATAACCTACTTTCTATGTTTATGGCTAATTTCTGCTTAAGTAAACCTGCGACTTCCTGCAACAGTTTCACCATCACTAATCACAAGTGAATGTAACCCAAGTAACAAGTGCTAACGAGGCTCCGCAGAGCTGTGATGGGCTCTGGCAGCCACAGCACTGCTCCTTCCCTGGGCTCCCAGAGAAGAGGAGGCTCTCAGGAGCCTCCACCTTTGGAAGGAGGAGCAGGGTGAGACATCCCCTATTTCACAGCATCCTCATTGGGGAGAGGATAATGCAAAGACAAAGGGCTTAGGAACCCAGTGTTGGCAATAAAAGTGGTCAGGAGGGAGGGTTAGCGATGCTGGGGAGACATCTGTGATCTCACAGCCTCTCCGAGTCTAACAGCAATGCTCGCTGTTGATCAGACACCAAGGAGGACCACAGAAAAAAGGCAGGCAGAGGATACATGGGTACGTGCCTGTTTGCTCCTGCTTTTCCTCCCTGCTTCTTCATGGCAGCTGATCCTACTGCTGTGGCACATGGGTTGTGACAGTAATCACCTCTGATGCACAAGGCGCAAGGACACAAAGGACAAGGTTAGTCTGCAGGGACAGAGAAGCACATCCCAAAGTGATGTGACTCTGGACAGGAGAGATGGAGAAGTGGGTAACCAAGTCACTGGTAACTTCTCAGAAATAAAGACTTTCCAAATCCGCTCCCACACACATGCTTCCCTTATCTGCACCA